CTTTTACTTTTCCAAGAGGGTAGTGTACTGGGGTGGTGGGGAGGTTTGGGAGGGGAGAAAAGTGCAACAATGAATGAATGGAAATCCAAAGTCTCTGTAAATTTTCATTGAAATTAATAATAAAGAAAGAAAAAGAAGTGACGCCTTTGAGCTGTGATGTTAAAGAAGAGCACTGAACATCTCATGGGTGGCCAAGAGACAAACAGCTTTATCTTGGAAAGAGTGCAATTGCCTCTTTAGAGGCAAGAATGATGGGACTTCGCCTCACATACTTTGGGCAGGTTGCTAGGAGGGGCTAGTCCTTGGAGAAGGACATGATGCTGGGAAGGATGAAGGGTGGGTGAAGGAGAGGAAGACCCTCAACCAGCTGTATTGACACAGTGATTGCTGCAATGGGCTCTTGTGTGTCAGGAAGTGTGAGGATGGCACAGGATAGAACAGGGTTCAGATCTTTTGGTCATAGGGTTGCTGTGAGTCATACTTGACTTGACAGCACTCAACAACAACAACATTATTGCATGGCTCTGCTTGGGCTTCTGTTGCAACAACATGGAAATGCAAACATGGTTTAGTTTAGAGGATAGCCCCTTTATATATCTAGGTTTTTATTCTATACTTGCCTCGACCTACAGTAATAGTCTGAAATATTATTTTCATCCCCAGAGGCTGTTTAGAAAAGTTACTATTTCACTGTTGCTTCAGTTTAGGAAACCCATTGCTGTTGAGATAGCGAGTCATGACAAACTTCCGTCAGATATTCAGAGCTGTAAGTTTTTGCAGGAGGATCCTTACTGTCCATCTTCCTTCCGTAGAGCAGCTGGTAGATTGAAACTGCTCACCATTTGTCTGGCAGCCTAACACATAAAGCACTACACTGAACCTGAGTGTCTCAGTAGCTTGAGACATTATCTTCTAACTAAAAAAAAGGTTATTAGTTTGAACCCACCAGCTGTTCTTTGGGAGAAAGATGAAGGTGTTTCAGTCTCTCAACTGTAAATTAACCATAAAGGAGAATACAGTGTTGTAGGATTGTTTATAATAGCAGAATGGAGAACAAGGTAAATGTATAGCTCCTAAGTGAGGGTAAGTGTGTGTATGTATATATGTGATGCATGCCATGAGGGAGGGGCTGAGCGAGAAGGAAAATACATACTGACCTGTAGGTAGGTATCACTAGAGGAATTCCATGAGAGAATAGAACTCTGCCTACTTCATATACTTCTGTTACATTTGCAATTTTAAAAACCCACTCTTTAACGCTTGACAGAGCTCTGCTAATGTAGTGATAATGTCCTGGACTGCTAATCAAAAGGTTGGTAGTTCAACCTCAATTAGCAACTCCTCAGGAGATGGATCATTTCCTCCTGTCGAGATCTCCAGCCTTAGAAACCCAAAGGAAGGTCACTGTGAGTCAAAAACAAGACCATGACCACACATTAAATAATATTTTCAAATTGGGGGTGGGGCGTGGGAGGCCATCTGAAAGTTCTGGATGAAAGAGGAGGAAGTTAAAAACAGTAAAGTTAGTCAAAGCATTTCCATTCTGCTTTTTTGACTCACTGTCACTTGAGCTGAAATGTTGATCTGAACTTGAACTGTCGCGGTCAGAATGAGGAAGAAGGTAGATTTTGAGTGTTATTTTAGAAATAGAATCTCTTCAGATTTAATAGTGGACAAGAAAATAGAATAGTCAAGATGACTAGATTTGTAAATTGTATTGCCATTGAAATGACATTATCAGAAATAGGGAAAAGCAGGAAAGAGAATATCCTTTCGGTTGAAGATAGTGAATATCTTACTCATCTTCACTAAATATTTGCATGGTAAGTTGATTGGGTTCACTTAATTCATCTTTAGCATACACCATTTTTGCTTTCTTAGTAAGGCTGATCTTACATAGTCTTAATTCTACTTCCTAATAAGAGATGTTATTATTATTATTTATAAATATGTAAACAACAACTTCTAAATGTTCTTTTTATGTTTCTTTTCCCCCCAGAGTGCACATTTGGCCATGATAGACACCTTGATGATGGCTTACACTGTGGAAATGGTCAGTATAGAGAAGGTAATTGCGTGTGCTCAGCAGTATTCAGCCTTTTTCCAAGCCACAGATCTGCCCTATGATATTGAAGATGCTGTCATGTACTGGATAAATAAGGTAGGATTATTCTTCCTTAAGTGAAGTGACTCACATAATCAGAAAGAGTGAAATCCTAAATTATACTTGATACTCTGTTATGCCTTCTGTTTTAAAGCTAAGGGGAATGCTCAAGTTGGGGAGCTGTGCTTCAAATTTCCTGTTTCATTTCTGACTTTTGACCATGTAAAAGTGCTAATAAATGATGAAAATAAATTTTTACATCTTTAACAGTATTTATAATCACAGTTAATAGTGAATAATCTAGTTCATAACAGATTACTTCCAAATTCGGTGAGGAGTTATGCAGAGAGAGTATTTAGTAAGTATTTTTTTGATCCAAGAATGAAATAATTTTCTCACATTTGCAATTAGAGAATTCTTATGTCTCCTTGACTGTATTGCACATCATCATATTAATTAAAGGTTACTTGTCCTGGAAATGTTTCTGGTGCTGTGATTAGATATTTGTGCTCCGAAATTGCTAATATATTGTACTCCCTTCATTAATATAAAAAGTTAATTCCTTTTTTTATTGTTTTAAGTTAATTCCTTTTAACACTCTGATTTACAGCTGTCACCCATAAGCCTAATCTATAAGCAAAAAAAAAAAAAAAGTATTGACTATCCCATGGACTGCACAGTAACAAGCAAGTCTGTCTTGAAGGTAGTGCAAGCAGATGGTTTCTTAGAGACGAGAATGGTGAAATTTTGTCTCATATATTTTGGGCATGTTGTCACGAGAGGTCAGTCCTTGGCAAAAGAAATCATGCTGGGGAAGGTGGAAGGTTGGAGAAAGAGAGCAAGACCCCCAGCAATATGGATTGACACAGTGATTGTAGCAGTGGACTCAGGCATATCAGATTGTGAGGATGGCATGGTATAGGGCAGGGCAAGGTTCAGATCTAATGTTCAGAGGGTCACTGTGAGTCTTAGTCAACTTGATGATGATACAACCAACAACAGCACCAATAGGCACACTTAAACAGACTTAAAAAAGATGTGTCATGTTCTCAAGAAATAGTCCTTTTTTTAAAAAAGGACATCTTGTGTTTGTACAAGAAGCACTTAAACTGCTTTTATATCTGTCATCATTGCCTATATTGATCTCATTAGTATAGATAGTTCATTTGATATTTTGCCTTGATAATTCATTTATTTCTTAATCTTTGGTAATCTTTTCCCTCCATTCTGTCTTGGCTACAGAGAATTCTGTTTATATCAGGAATTGTCTGACCTTCATTTCCCATTGCACACTTCTTAAAAAGTTCTTCCTATCCTCCCAGTTCACTCTAGATCTCTCTACTGTTAAAAATTTTCATCTTCCTTTGGATTTCTAACACAGTAAGCAACTAATTTTTCAAAATCCCACCCAACTTCACAACTCTCCTTTTTTAACTTCAGTTCTTACAGATACTGTCAGTTCTGCCTCTTTTTCCCTCATCTGGTAAAAAAATATAGTTGAACTTTTAGTTCCTCACCTTATCACTGCCTGTGCTTTTGGAGGTAAATGTTGCTAGAGAAATTCATAGAAGGAAGCTGATGTATCTTGCTTAAGGTCATCTTCACAGCTTTCAGATGCTCAGTGGTCACTGCTGTCTCTATAGCATGTCCCTAGTAAGTTTGCTTTACCATATTGTTTCATACTTTCTCCATTATGTCATTTTAGCCATTTCTGTTCAACTAATTAATCTTAGGAGAGCTATTTATTTGTTATATTGTGTAGCTTTCTTAATCCATTAGTCTCAAAGGTTTTTTTTCACATGGTGACTACCTCTAAATTGGGATGAACACTTGATAAACACTTTGTTTTTTGTTGTTTTTTTTATTTTTATCATACTTTTTTATTATTATT